TATAAATGTTATTAGATTTCATTAGTTTTTTTTTCCCCAAGTATTTGTATATGTGATATTGTTTTGAAAATTTTTTTTTATATATTTTTGGGATAGTTCTATTAATATGAAAGATATGATCGACAATATATTTTGAATTATTTTAAAAGAATTGATATGAATGTTTTTGACCCACTTTCTTTTTTAAGATGGATAATTATTTGCGATTTTTTATGGGTTATATAGTGCCTTCAGGTAAGAACAATAACTAGTATATTTAAATGGCTCTTCATGTACTTTCATTTCCACAAGAATTATTGTTCCATGTATTGCACTTTTTTATTTTTTAATTACCTAATATTAATTATATATTCAAATGACTCGTTATATACTTTCATTTTCACAATAATTATTGTTTTATGTATTATACATTTTTATCTAAGTTAATGACACTATCTCTCTTTCATTTGGAGTAGACTATTAAACTCTAATTTTATATATTAATATGTGGATAAATTTGTCCATAACATAAGTTTCACTAGATATTACAAAAAATATTTAACCAAATTTTATTTATATAGTTGACGTTAGTATATTTGATATTGAAAATAATCCACATGCAATGCACTTCTATATAAAAATATATATATAAATTTACATGTCCATAACTATATCTATATCTATCTATCTATATTTTTTACTAATAAAAATATCTTAACATGAAAATTTTTTAAATCTCTATTTTATCTTTATAAAGAATTACAAAAACCACTTTATCTTTGACAATTAAATATTTAAATTATCATCATATCTTTATGCATTTAAATCTCCAAATTATCTCTAACATCTATTTTAATTATTTATTCTCTATGTATAAATATTAGTTTTTATAAAAAAAATTTAATTAACTATATTACTTTTCAAAAAATATGCATTATTATATTTTTAATAAAGTGTTTAAAAAATCTTCAAAAATTTTATTAATCTAATATTATTCATCTCATATGCAAAGATAACATTATACTGACATATGTTTATTTTTTTTTCATTGAAAAGTGTAAACATTTCAATTTTAAGATAAAAAATAATCGTACATATAGTTTTTTAAAATCAATTTATGTTACATCAATATAATTATTCAGTCATAATAAAATTTTTAAGTTGTATTAAGATTTTATATGAAAATAGATATTGCAGTATATTTTAAAGTAAAATTTGTAATTTTAAGAATTTTAATATTGCAGAATTTGAATTTTTTTTTAGAAATTTTAAATAAAACTTGAAATTTTTAGATTTTTTAAAGTAGTATATTAAATATTATCTCAATACACCTGACCAATTTCTAATTATAGTAAGGTTATAATATAATTAGTATATTAACAATTAATTTTATTTTATTCAAGGAATTATAAATGGAATACTAATAAAAAGAATTTTATCAAAAAATTTAATTTTTCAAACATCACTAAAAAATCAATTTCAATTACAAAATTCTTAAAACATAGAATTTTAACTATTTTTTAAAATTTATTTTCTTTTAGTACAAACAAAGAATTTTAGAAATATTGAAAGTTTTTATAATCTTATAATAGAATATGAGTAACGAAAAATTAAGTTTTTGTAAATTTGAGATAATATTTAATTCAAATACGTATATACCTAATATACTTTATTAATTTTTGTGTACGAAAATTATTCCCGTGTAACGCACATGATTCATTGGTAGTACAAATATGTGTATATTTTTGTATATATACTCTGTTTCTCTGTGTGTAGCTCATGATTTCAATTATTTTTTATTCCGGGTGTTTTGGAATTCTGATTCCAATGAGTGGTGTGCACAAAAAAGTTTTGCTCAATCAATTACAGAAATTTTTGTAGCTCATTGGGGTTTGTCCAATCGCGTTGATTCGTGTCATCTTATTGTGAGTTCGTGTCGAGTGTTAGTCAATATTCTAACTCAAATTATTTAACTAATTGTATTGTATCGACTCACTTATTTATTTTGATATCAAGTGTGTGTTTACATTAAGATTTAAGTTTAAAATTCTATTATCAATTAATTGAATTCATGCTTATATTTTTTCTATAAATAAAAAATTAACTTAATAAAAATATCAATAATAATGAATAAAAATATATTTTTTGTACAATAATTATGTCAATACTTAATAAACAATAAAAAACAATTATAATTTTATTTCTATAATATTAATTAAATCTGTCAATTTCGTATAGTTTGTGTTTAACTCTAACTAAATTCATTTATTATTTTTGTTAATTGATCGTGTCATTTACAGGTTTATGTTAAAAAATTATTAACTTTAATTCCCTAATTTTATATCAAATTCGAGTCGTATTTTCGTGTCAAAAATTGTCATTCCTAAACTCAACTATGTGAGAGTGTTGGACGTTAGAGAATTTTCAGCCCATGCCACCTTCTCTGATGTTGAGGGTTTGTTAGGAGTAGGAGTGTTTAAATTTTTGGTTAGTCAGTAATTTTCTATTCTACCCTATTCTATTGAACGGCTAGTCAAAAAAATTGGATAGAAATACAAAAAAAATTTTAGTCTTCCGATTAAATTAAGTAGGAATGCGAAATAACTATTAATTTCTATATTCTTACTCTACCTTACGAGCATTAATTTATATATATACTAAAAATTCTAATTTCCTAACTATATAGTTTAAACTTAAAATAATTGTTATTGTATTTGTGTAACAATTATGATAGATTGATGTTTATGCTATCTTGTGTTTTATTATAATTGTTATAGTGTTATTAAATTGGTGTATGCTATTTAATTGAATTGTTAAAATGATTCAAAAATTAATAACTACAAAAGTGTTCACCTGATTTCCTACACGAATTTCTATCCTATTAATTTGACCGGAAGTTAAGTAGGAATACCACACTTGATCAGGTAGAATAGGCCAAAAAAAATTTTTTTTGTAAAATATCAAGTAAGAAGACAAAATACTATATTTTTTACTTTTTTTTTTTAATCAACTCCTAACCACCGACTCTAACAGATTTTTTTTTTTTGATCGACTCATATTTTTTACCTTTAGGATAGGGTAATTAAGAGTCAAAAGAATTATGATAAATGATTTGATTTGATTAGTTAGATATGCTTGAATTAGATATAGATAGATAAAAAAATGTGCAAAAGTAAGGCTTTGCCGCTGTGGTAACACAATTTAGTATGCTAATCAGTGGGTCCCATGAAATAGTAACCTAACCGGCAATGCACGGAATGGGAAAGACTAGAATCAATATCCAAATCAACGAAGATGGCTGTCAGGATTGGATCGGTTGGAAGAGGATAAAAAAAATTCAAAATTTAATTGATGCACTTTTCTGTATTTGTCTCTTCAATTTGAATTTTTTGCATTTATATGGTTAATAATTTATAATAAAAAATATGAATAATTTTAATAAATTTATTTGACGATATCAAATAGATTCATTCAACGGTCATCATCATCTCTCTTAAAATCATTCATATTAAATTGTGTTTTTAGGTACGAATTATCTCTAGTCTATAATATAAAAATACTAGTTATTGTCTGTACCTGAAGACACAATATAGTAAAAAATGACAAATAATAAATATATTTATATTTATATCCAAAATCAAATCACAAATATAGATAAAAAATAAAAAAATTTAAGAATCAGTTTTGTAGTAAGGGTGAGTAGGTGGGTGGCAATGGTGGTGGCAAGAAAAGATGATGGTTGTAGTGAGTGGTAATGATTGTGGTGGCAACAAGGGGCGACGGTAACAATGGTGGTGGTGGTGGTCGCGACGGTGGTGGTAGTGGCGGTGGCGACAGTGGTGGTGGTGGGGATGGTGGTAGTAGAAGTAGTGGTGGGACGGTTTCAAACACTATTATTTTTTTTAAAGTAGTCATGAAAAATAATTTCAAGAACTACTTTTAAAAAATTATTCCAAATACGCCCTTAAAGACCTATTTTTCTTATTAAATTTAACGTGTTAATATTAGTCGTTAGATTAATTTTAAAGTAAAATTTAAAACGATCTCAACCGCGAATAGCAAAAATTATTTTATTTATCTTTTGAAATTTGAATTGTAAGCTATTTTATTATATAAACTAGTTATTGTCTGTGCCTGAAGGCACAAAATAGTAAACAATAAACATATTTGTATTCATATTTAAAATCAAATTACAAACATAGAGAAGAGATAAAAAAATTTAAGCATCGATTTGTAATGGGGGTGAGAGGTGGTAGGTGGTAGTGGTGGTGATAGGAGACAGTGATGGTTGTGGTGAGTAGCAATGACCGTGGTGGTGGTGGTGATAGTGATGGCGGCGGCATTGGTGGTGGTGACGGGGACAGTGGTGGGGTGGTGGTGGTAGTGATGGGGGCGGTGGCGGCGGTAGCGGTGGTGGTGGTGGTGGTAGAGGTAGTGGTGAGGCGGTTTCAAACACTAATTTTTTCTAAAGTATTTGTGAAAAATAATTTATAGAACTACTTTTAAAAAGTTATTTCAAATGCATTTTTTAGAGCCATATTTTTCCTATTAAATTTAGGGTGTTAATATTGATCGTTAGATTAACTTTAAAGTAAAATTTAAAGCGATCTCAACCGCAAATAGTAAAAGTCATTTTATTTATCTTTTGAGATTTAAATTGTAAGTTATTTTATTATATAGGTAACAAATTTTAATAAGTTCATTCGATGATCTTAAATAGACTCATCCAACGGCCATTAAAATTCATTTCAAAATTGTTTACACTGCAAAGTGACTAAAGAGACGTGTTACCTCTAATATAAGAAAAATACTATTTGGACCTACTTTGAGAACCTAATCTCAAGACTTAATTCAATATAACCATTAAATTAATTATAAATTCTATTTAACATTAAAATTCATAATTAATTCAATAATTACGTTGAAACCACGTCATTCCAAATAACGTTTCTTGCTACTAATATAATAGGTATAAAAAGAGGAAAAGATGGTAAATCAAAGTCAATCGTGGGTGAAAAACCCTATCAACCAGCACAATCACTTCTCATTAACCACACAGAAGAGGGGCTGCAGGTTGGGGTAAGTGACACCGCGAAGCTTCTAGCTACTCTCAGCCACCAGGTCCGGATTCGGTCTTCGTTATTAACCTCGACGACGAGACGACAACGAACCATTCCAATTTTTCTACCTATCTGTTGACATTCATAAGGGTATTGGTATGCATGCTTCATCTTTTTATTTAATAAATTCCTTTTATTTATCCTTTCCTTTGTATTTTGTGAAGACTAATTTCAGTATATGTAAGAAATACAGTACCAATGTTTGGCAATTGTAGTTTCTAAGTATGTTAGTCTAAAGCTACCATTTTTCTGTAATAATGGATTGTGACCCAGGTGTTTGTAAAAAAGACTGAGCTAAAAGGCTGAAAATTTATATTTCTGTCCAAATGGGTTTCTTATACTTGTCTGTTGTTGGTGGTTTGGTTTAGGACCCTTACTGTCTCGTATATGTTCTTTTTTAATAAGGTCTTACTCGAACATCTTGTGAACAATCCATTTCTTCTTCTTACGTGTAAGGTTTCAAGAGGAAGGATGATTTCTTTAAAAGACATTGTACCTGCGGCGCAAAACAATATAAACACACAGTTCATACTTTTGGATAAAGGAAAAATATCATTAGATGGTCAACATAAGACATGCTTGGCACTTGTGGCTGATGAGACTGCCGGTGTGCATTTTCAGCTATGGGGGGATGAGTGTGATGCCTTTGAGCCTGGTGACATTGTCCGTTTGGTTAATGGCATATTCTCTTACAACCGCAACAATCTTGTTTTGAGGGCAGGCAAGCGAGGGAAGATGGAAAAAGTGGGAGAATTCACCTTGGTGTTTGTCGAGACACCAAACATGAGCGAGATTCGTTGGGTTCCTGATCCAAATAACCCCAAGATATATGTGCAGGAAGCTGTTATTTCACCCTACTCAAGAATTTTTCCGCCTATGCAATAATTGTTACGCTTCTTCTGTTTTACTTAAGAAGTGTTGCCTTTCACATGAATTCCAAGTGGAAACACCATGAATTGTGAGGCTTGTAGTTTTTGCTCAGCATAGTATGCATTTGACCTTGGCTTGATGTCTCTTGTATTTTAGATTAACATATGTCAATTTCAAGTCGAATGATCTGTTTACGTGGCTGCATTCACCTTATAGGGTTTTCAATACACCTTAGTTTGTCAATTTATATGAGATTTGCTTTATAGCGTTGAATTTTCTGTTATGCTTGTCAACATTCAGCCCCAATATTGTGCATGTTGCTAGAGGTATGGAGCAAGGATGCATCCCACATCAGAGTCACGCACCAAGCCTATAAACAGAGTTTGATATCTTTTCCACCCTGCTAACCTGAACATATCTAGACTTTTTGGCGCATCCGTCCTCTCCGACATGTAAGGTTCCCCATCCACATATCCGGATAAACTTCACTTTAGATGTCTCACATACTATTGAATCACCTCTTGGGTTTTATTTGGGATCTTGTGTGATGAAAATAACGATTAACATTTTGATGTGCTTTAATGTATAGGTACCTGTTCCACAAGAATAGGGTTTTCCAAATTCAAACATAATTTGCTCAATTAATCTGCTGCATGTGGTCTCATACCTGACCCTCCTATGGGTATCTTTCCCTTTCCTTTTGAGTCTGTCTTCTCTCACTGTGCTTAGCCACCATAGAAAATAGCTGTGCTGACAACAAAGCTTCACGGTTACAAACTTAGACAATTTAAATGTGCCCTATAACATATAACCATTTTACAAGTGACATCAACTCATGATTTATGATATAAATAATACACAAAACTTAAAAGAGATCCAGCTCCCTTCCTTGTAAATCTTCTTTGGGTATCAGGGAACACTTTCCTAGCAGATCATCAGCATCATTCTACAAATACTACAACAGCAATCTGGGGAAGAATGATCACAACTCGATGTCTAATACTGCTACCATTTCCAAGCTGTGTACAGTCTACAAAGCCACTTTCTAGATATCTCTATCTGCGAAATACAGGGGATTGTCTATTGTGATAGATGTTGAACCCTCTGCTTGACATTCAACCCCCCTGATCATGCTACCTCAAACTCGGGCGTGCCAAATCAAACACCGAAAATACACAGATTGGCTGAATGACTTCAAATATATGCGAGTGAGCTCCGATCAAGGTTAGGCTGAGGGCGACCTCTGGTAGGAGTTGGCGGTCTTTGAATGTTAAGCTCCTGTAGGGACCAGAAACCGATTCAAGTAGTGTATAAGCCAGCCAAAAATAATTGTACTGCTTACAAGTCAGGGTAACATCGAACAAATCCACAGGTGATGTTTTGAAAATGAAGAATTCTTACCTGCATCCACGTGTCTTCGATGACACGTTCCGGAGATGTCTCTGGTGACTGAAGGGGAGGCGGCAAGGGATGAATCAATTTAGGAACAACCACCAACCCTCTGCCAACAACCAATATTGCTCCAGCATTGTTGGCCGACCCTGTATGCATTTGCCCAATTAGACAGCAAATGCTAGCATCAGAAAAGGAGAAAACTTAACGCGCTCGGTGCTTACCACAATAGTTGGTTGCAGAAAAAAGAGTGATCAATTGTCCCTGAGCAAACCGTTCAAACCCATCCATAACACATTCATGTGCTCTTATAATGAGTTGTAATTTGTTTTTCTTACAGAAGTCCGTAACCCGATCAGGCTGCAAGTAATGAGATAAGAGTTACATAACAAAGTTAAGGCCACAAGAGTATATCTAGGGGTGAAATTTCATATCCAGACGCTGTCAACAAGCAGTACACCACAACACAAGGAAAGAATATTCCATTTATAGGAAGTCTGTACATTGACCCATAAACTTTATAACTGATAGTTAGCATGTTGAATATGAAAAAATACGGATTATTGCATGTAGGTAGCAATTAATTATTGAGAATTGATAAAAAAAAGAAAAGAATCAGAGATCCGTTTTACATATATCGCAGAGATTTAGCATGCATACCCCAAAAGTTACAAGACCAGGCCCTCTAGCATTTGGTCTCAAACCCTCTACACTATCATTCTCCGTGGGATCTGACCTGTACAAAAATATGTTATGTAACAAATTTTTAAATGGAAACCAAACACTTATAGATGCACTTTAAGGACATACCATAGAAGATCCATTAGGATTATAGATCCAGCATCCATAGTTATGGGCCTCTCTAGTTTCTCTATCTGTTCAACTGAATGTATTGACCTTCCTATGCCACCATGCATACAGATAATTTTTTTCTCAATAAGTGCGGCAAGTGGAAGACAGTTAAAAAGTTGATTGAAGCGCGTCCAAGCCCAGATCCCATCATTTTCTCCCTACATATACACCTGTCTTTAGAACAGTAAAATACTTCGCGAAGGAGAAATGTCTGCACATATATTTATACCATTCTTTCAATGCATTCAAGACGAAAACCAAAAAGTGCATTTATGTCAGCGGCCTCATGATTCCCACGAATCAAGTGAACATTCTCAGGGTATTCTATCTGAAAATAACAACACAAAAAAAGCATGGTCAAACAAAGGAACACTTGCAAAGGATAAAAGTACTAGGAAGAAGCTTGCCTTTAGAGCAAGGAGCAAAGTGATGGTCTCCAAGCTGTGCTGTCCTCGATCAACATAATCACCCAGAAACAAATAGTCGATATAGCTGAAACATAAAAAAACCTGCCCTTTAACCACTAATCTTGAAACTGCCCGATAAATCATAATCTGGAAAAAGGTTGACAAATGTTGTGATTCAGATAATGTACAAGAGTAGAAATAATGCAGTAGCTCAATCAATGGCATCAACGCATCAAAACCAATCATGCTGTTCTTGCACTGGGCAAGAGCAACATCGATTGATTTTCATTCAATATCCTATTCCCGCTGTACTGCTTCTGCTAACAGTAAACGGCCAACTCTATGCTTGACACTTGGGGAACAATACACGCTTGTCAATGGCCTGAAATGTTAAAGGATGAACAATACCTGCTACTTCAAAGGCAAGCAAGATAACCCTCAACATAATCAGCCACTATGCCAAGCATCATATCTTCTACTTAAGTTATTCTTCCATTTCATTCTAACAAACTAGCGAACCTTGTAGTATGACTATCACTTCAGTGGCTTGAGCACAGCTAAATGAATTCTGGATGCTGCAGTGCACAGGTCGCCATAACTCACACATGGGGACAAGCATAGGCTATCAACCTAAAGTGCCCCATTTCACATAAGTGCACGCCAATGACACCATTGATTTATTTCCAAGAGTTGTTTAATTTATCCCTCTGATCTCTGAGTTAGAGTGCCTCAATTGAAAGAAAATTGACAAGTTCAACATAGTTAAGTTAATTTGCTACAAAGTTCCTCAAGGATTTGTAATTAGCTTGTTCCACCTCCTACTTATTTTAAATAAGACTGCTTTGGTCAGGGACAGTAACAAAAACCAGCTTCCTATTGATATGTTTGAGAACCATATTTCAGTGGGAAATTTTAGATTTTAGGTCTCCTTATCAGGTAGCCCTTGCCATAGCAGAATGGCTAAAAAAGTCCGAGTAGTCAACTCCAATAAATTGGTACAAGGTTTTCTTGGTTTGGTTTGATCTTTCTTATTCCATGAGCATAGTGACACATACAGGGTATAACACAATAACATGTCAATATGGTGAACTTTTGAACACCACAAGGATACAACACAATGTATTTGCATTAATATCAACATCTATAAGTAAAAATAGAAGTAGTCAAATAATTATATATCACGTAGCCGACCCCAAAAATATTAGGACAAGGCTTTGGTGGGTTGAGTTGAGTATATATGGGCAAATCATCAATATTTGCTGTATGAATCTGTAAGGTGTGCTAAGTTTTTACTCCACAAATCCACATCAAATCTGGCAAGATTTACCCTGTGGTATCATAATTATTCCCTTCTGAATTGGGTCAAAGAATGTGCTGAAGCAACCAAGAAGGACCACATGCATCTAAGCCTCTGCATTTCCGACTTGACTTTTATTCTTAGTGAAAAGAAGCTGTTCTTTCTTAGGAAAATGTCAAGCCAGACGGTAAACATTGTCACCACTAGAATACGCCAGTCATCACATTAACCTTAATTAGGGTACCCCTCATTGTTGCATCCAAATCCTTGGATTTACGGCTCTGCATGCATCTACACCTCTGCATATCCCGACTTTACTTATATTCTAAGTGCAAAGAAGTTGTTCTTTCTTAGGAAAATGTCAAGCCAGACGGTAAACATTGTCACCGCTAGAATACAATACGCCAGTCATCACCTTTGCCTAGCGCCCAACCTGAATTAGGGTACCACTGATTGTTGCATCCAAATCCTTGTATTTTAAGGCATTCCTTCGTACTCATTGTTATGCATCTAGTTAGTCCCATCCACCAAAACCAAGTTATTTGAAGATTATACGACCCAATAAACCAGTGTAAAACATGTCATCTAATTAAGTCTTACTGGAAACTGAGATCCATGCAGGCTTTTTACTTAAATGGGATATTAAGCCTATAGTAACTGATGAATCCAGTATATCAAGCTTAGCAACAATTGATACGGAGTGTGACAGTACAACTTGCATGACATAAAAAAGAGTATTTTTAAACTTAGAAGTGTTCACTTGAAAGGTACACCATACACGAACTCATAAAGCTGGAATATGTCAATTTTTGTAATTGGTTAAGTTTAAAAGTATAGAAGTGAAATGAAAATAATATACATGTGTGTGTGCGTATATCTAATTTCACAATATTCAATACCAAACTTACGTTATGTCTCCTGCAGTGGAAGGAAAGCCATATTCATCGAACAGCCTCATTAGATCACCAAACTGACCATGAAGATCGCCGAACACTTTTACAGGAGCTTTCAACTGAAGAACTGTGGGCTCATGCATAAAGATCTGCTCAGCAGCATAACAAAGCTCACCCACTTCATATGAATCCAGAAAAAACTTCCTGTTTGTTGGAGGTTTCCAGTTTCGAGGCCTAAGCAAAGTAGATATAATCTGCAAGAAAACAAATGGTAATGAGGATTGTGTAGAAACATTAATAATATTTCTTCCTTAACAAAACAAAAACGAACAACCGATGTTTGGTAATGCATGCCTTCTTATGCAAGCCTTGAGGAGACTTCTGCCTGGTAAACTTTTTGGTAGGATTTGACAAGTCATTATGCAATGGAACCATTCGTCTACTCTCATTCTCAAATTGATCCAAGGACAACTGCCTCACCATCCCACCCAGGTTTCCTACAGTCTCTTTAGCAACTACCACCTGTAAATAAGAAACAGCATGATTTTGCATCTCGAAGATAGTAGAACCATAAATACAGCACAAGCGAAAAGACATACAGCTCTAGGGTGAAGGCGGACATCACCCTCAGTGTCACTACCCTCTGAAGTGGTCTCCGCAACTTGTGAGTTGTCGTTGGAAACAGATGTTTCTTCAGTAGGAGAGGCAGATGCTGCCTGAACAGCTTGCCAGACAGCGTTAGCTGCTTCAGCTTCAGCAGCAGAAGCCTCAGCCAGTTTCTCCATAGAATTTTTGTCCATGCTGGTAAAGACAACAATACATTATATAAATATTGAAGTAAGCTCTGTCAAAATCCTTGTGTTAAGGAACAGAAATCAAACACATGGTTTAAAACCTCAAGCTGCCAAATGAGGGGCTTTCAGGACTGCCATCCAGATTTGTTGTAGAGGTGCAAGAACTTGGATTTGAATCGTTTGTTCTGGGACTTGTCATTGCTGAGGCCTTCTCAGATGTTAGTACAGAAGAATTGATGTCAGGCTGCAATGGTGAATTTTCTGCAATCAGAAAATCGTCTAACACTATATCTGCACCAAGGAACACAATAGACTTGTTATGTGACAAAACAAAGAAAAGGAAAAATGAAGAGGGACATAGTTCGGCAGTAATTTAGAGTCATCAGTTATCCAGATAAGAATTTTAGGTTTTCTTTTTGGCGTGGGGTGGGGTTGTTGGTGGGGAGCAATTGCAAGCGCTTATTTGCCCATCACAGGTTCAACTACAGTTATTAACCATACAAAATGGGGGGAAGGCCACCTATGACTCATCTTTCTCAAACCCCGTTGTATGCGAGAGCTTGCTCTCGGGGTAAAAACATGGTTGTGCCCCGGGGAGTAAGGGCCTTAGCACTTAATTTAAGAGCATGCCACTCAACCATCATTTCAGGGACATGGAAAAAGTACTAGTCCGAGATACAAGTCATTGTCACAATCTTGTTTGTGGATGTTTCCAACACTGAGGTTTGATTGAAAAAACATTGATCTCTAACATTGGATACATTTTTCACCGAGGGATTGCAACCATCTTGTTCAACCAAGCAAAAAACATCTGTCAAAATCTTGTATGTTTAGTCATCAGTATCGTTCTCACTTGACTACCACGCGTGGCCTTTTTAACTGTTTCCCAAAAGCCAACTGGTACTTTTACCTTATCGCTCTAAAGACCAATTTATTACTCAAGATTGTTCATAGACACAAACCTGTAATATAAATACAAAGGTTTGTATGCAATGGTTTGATTAGAAATTTCCATTTTTGTTATTTTTTGGATTCGGAAGAAGCCATTTATGTAGATAAGTTTAGTCGATCACAAAATCTTTACAACATAAGCAACCTTTTAGAAGAAGGATTTCAAGAGTACTGTTCTAAATTTACCATATTTTCCGGCATTCCATTTACATGAGCAAGGATCACTCTTAAAAGTTATGCTCCATAAAAGGGCACGAGAAAATGCTCCACAGAAAGAAGAAATTACAAGTGGGTAAAAGAAAAAATAAGAATAGCTGAGTGTTAAAAAAAATGGTAATTCATGGTATTGCAGTTATTGCTTCCATCATATAACTAGAGTCACTATGACAGAGTCTTGCAACTACTGAAAACACTCTTTACCTCCTTTGAGACCACCATAAATATATATCCGCACACCAACAGATGCAGCCGCGTGGCGACAACGACGCATGGGCTCCAACGAAGAATCAGGGTCTGTGTGTCCTTTGCGGGTGCGTGAAGAAGTCACTAACCCATGTCTATCGAACCAAACTCCAGCAGCAGTGTCCAATACTAACAAGACCAAAATGACATTGCAAGATAAGTTCTGAGATTTTCTTCACCGAATGATTACAAATATCATTCAGCTAATGAAACAGAATACAAAACCCAACATACCTGCACTTGCTGCTTCAGCTTCGACTGCCCGTCCTCCCCTAAGAACACCTCCCGTAACATGCAATCTCGCACCAACAAATACCTGACAATTAGCATTGTTTAGATCATGGAATGGACAAAGATGATGAAAGACAAAAGAATATACTATACCCCCAACATGCAACACAAGAAACTCAGTGGACATGAGTTGCTGGTATATAGTTACCAGCCTACCACTTACCGCAGCATGTTGATACCTTGGCGAAGGAGACACCCCAGGTGCAAGAGTCCACTCCCACTGCCCGTTTCTGTGCATAAGCAGTCCATAAGCATCTGCCAATGGCTGCAGATTCATAAATACAATTAACAGTCTCGGACAACCACACACTGCTGAATAAACCTCGATATGATTTATGAATGATATGTCCATCATCAACTCTGGCTCAGGAAAGATAAGCTGGCTCAACAGCTTTGAATTGCTTTAGGACATTATTATTCTCATCATTTCATTAAAGGTTTGGGGGGCCACTATACTAAATCATTTTTTTTTCCTCACTTGTTACACTTGCAGCTGATTTTAACAATATATCGATGCTGGTTTTTTTCCAGAGGAGGAAAAAAAATACATGAATTTATGATTGAACCTCTACCTAACGGTAGCAAATCCAACCTTAACAAGCCTATATTAAATCCCACCTACTTGGAGATGCCATATGGCATTGTCCAAGTCCATGTTCTCCACTAAATCATATGCCATCAAATCTTCTATATCATCCAAACTCTCTTTTATTGTAGGCCTTCCTCCTTCACTAATGATATCCTTTACTAACATCTTATTCAGTTTTCTGCTGCACTCAATGGTTTTCTCCACACAAGATTACACTAACTTAGGTCATATCTCATCCTCTATATGAATTCTTGCCACCACCCGCCTCGGACGTGCGTGTTCATGACTCATCCATCTTTTATTTGCATGTCTAGCATTCTAAAGACTGATAAGTCCATGCAGATGTCTTGTAAAATATTTTACCAAATACTTGGGGTTGATAAATTGCATGTAATAAAAGTGCACATTTCTGGTACATCATGGCTCATTTTGCATATTTTGGCCACCAATTTTCACAATCCCCATCACTTGGACTGAAGCTAACCGAACAATAATAATAATGTACTTATGTAGTGCATGCCCACCAGTTCCTTGAAGTTTCCTAGACATGATACATTCATCTATACAGACCCTTATCATAAGTGTCAGAGTCTCCACAAATAATATATTATTACAAAATATTACTTTCCATTTTGGAGATAATCGTAAGCTCCATACAAGGGAAAGAGTGACCATCCATCACCAACTGGTTTGGTGCATGCAAATAGAAACTCTGGCATATTGCCCTTGTCCATGCAGCACAAAATGCCTTCGAAATGTAACTATTTGTGTATTAATTAATTTGACTTATCAACGCCTGTTATAAGCAGTAGACAATGAGTATAACACAACCTACACATTACCAGTTGAAGTCAACAGACTGAACACCTGCCCCTTGCTGGCAAGCAGATTTTCAATTTAAAAGTAGTAAATCAGCTAAGTGTGAACCCCTTTTCCTTGGATTACCACCAATAAACCAACAGAAAAAGTAGAATGCTGCCATACAAAACTCCTTGAGAACAGAAGTTCTAAAGACTTCAGTGACATAACCCCAATGTCCCAATTTTAAGAGTCCACCTTTTCTTTGGACACCTCTAATCATTCACCTCTAATGTGGCCCGTTCCTCCCAGTTATATGACCAACTGGATCAGTTGGCTAGAAAGAGAGCTAATCTTCCCACGGGCAACAAAGTCCTTCTTGGGCCCATGGCCTCCGCAAGTAAATATTGGATGTAACGGTTACACCACCACGTCAACATTGCCATGGGATATAACTGCCCAATGATAACTCAACAAGTACGCAAAATGGACTCTAGTCCTTCAAATAACTACCCTTCCATGTGAGATAGTAACCGCCACATATTCAAAAAATGGGGTTCCCTTTTCAAGTTGATTGCTTATTATTGAGTGGTTCATTGCACCCAAAATTTACTTGTCCTCCAACTATGAAACCAACAATGTTTTTCTTGCTCTTTGAGAAGAGGGGACTCAAAGCCCACCAACCTGCTATTCGAACACACTTTATGCCTTGGGATGTAGTGGAATATCCATACCACTCTGCCATTGATAGTTTTGCACCAAATTTGAAAGTTGAAACACATAATATTATGTTCCTTAAGAATAAGTGTTCCCAAAAAAGGGGTCCCATTCATGGGAAAGAGGGAGTAGGCTACAAATGAGGATAACATTTAAACCAAAACAAAATAAACAGGCCCGCTAACTAGAAACAAGAACACAATGCAGAAAAACTCAGTCAGAAAGAATATTGACAATTCATTATGAATTTAAGAGAGCACAAAGACAGTAGGCCACACCATGCCGGAGGTGTCTCTTCCACCACAAAGCAAAAACATGCCGTCTGAGCGGGCACTGGCTGTTGCATACCTACAAAGGATAACATAAAATTTCAAAAGCCTATAAAAAAATACAGCTGTTCATAGAATCACAGTGAGACTTGAATAACAATTGTAATGCAGCACAGCCATTGATTCAAATACAACCCAACACAAATTTTGTCACATACAACTCCAAGAGAAGCCAACAATCTGCAATCGGAAGATGGTTGCAAGTTCTCTAGAGTCACCGACTGGATGAAAGGTCATGTTAACCATATGCAATGAAATATTTGTTACAGTAGTAAAGAATTCATAAAAAGACTTTTATTTCTCTTATTTTTTGTTTTTTTTTTAATATCACTAACTTAGACTGAAGTTTGATAGCACTGAAAGCAGGAAAAACAATCCACAGTTGGTCCAAATAGCTGCAATCTGGATAGACCACACACATTTCAGGGACACATAAAGAAACTAATAAAGTCCCTCAAAAGTGTATTGTTTAAGGGTGCAAGTAAGAGGTATGATTGGCTTGGAGATAACACCCACAACAGACAGCAGCCAGCCACCATGAAACGAGAAGATTGAATTGGAAAAGAAGCGAACAACAACAAGGACCAGTAAGGAAGAGAAGGAGAACATGTAAAGCGGAAGATTTATCTGTAGTGGGATGGAACAGAGAGTTCCACCTGCAAAACCAGCACTTACCTCTAATGAATGGCAGGGATAAAGATGATGACGATGACGATAAACATGGATATGCAAGCTTCACGGAAGGAAAAATGAGAAAGGACTGATTTAAAAGTACAGCTCCATTCCTAATAAGAATAAAGGAAGTTAATGTAATGGAACCTCACACAAGAATCTTAGTGGGAGTGTGCTTGTGCAATTACAACTATGGAAATGTTTGCCCAGATTAGTAACAAAGAAGCTTCTCAAAACAAAAGAACAACAAAAAAAAATAAATGGAATCTATTTCATGTTAGAGTTACGGAAATTTAAATTTTAAACATGCATGAACTAAAAAAGCTGTATGCACAGAAAAACAAGTTTAGTAATGACATCAGATTCTACAATGAAACAGTAGAATGTGGCTCTAATTAGAACAGTCCGAAAGGAATAAAAATTTACAAAGTCTAACTTTTGAACTAAGAATAGACAATATACACTCACACTCTAGCAGAAGGTCTATCCCCTTCCGGATTAAGCCTCTGCCATACATATGGTTTCTGTGCAGTATCAAAAACCCAAGAATCTGACAGCACTTTTTGTCCTGCAGAAGTATACAATTACTGTTAAAATGTTCAAGCACAACAGAAAACATACAAACCTACTCTCTTCTTTTATAACATTAGCATGAAATTGCCAATGCTGATATGAAGATAGTTGGAAATTTAGCTGGCAAAATTCTATTTACCAAAAATTACCCCAGTCAATCTTAGTTTTTCAAATATATGGGCATATCATAACCAAAACTACGAGACGGCAATAGGAAGAATATAGAAATACACGCCATAAGTCAAGCGGCCGTCTTCTTGTTTACTATCTAGAGCCAACCCTAAAGATGGGAGTCATGCAGGACTTTTTGGCATGAGGTTAAATTGAATAGCCACTATTGAGCGTTCACCATTCATGCAAAACTGTCGGATCAACATGAATATAGGACCATGACAACTACTCTGCCCAGAATTCAGCACTGATTGTTAGAGGGTCCAAATCAGCTCGAGAAACAATAGAGTTATAATCTTAACCTTGAGGACCATAATTTGTTTCATGGGATTCTCTCTTGCTTCGCATGAGGGGGCAAGTGCCACCTAGATAAATGTAGAATAGCACCGCAGGCCTTCTACCTTCTCTTTCTGGTCTAAGGGAATTGCGAAGGGTGAATCCATTCAAAAGGTCAGCCCAGTACGAGGCTCCCAAGCGCTAAGGCCCACCCAGGTCACAATGCAGAGCTACCCCATTGTTGTGTGAATTTAAACAACAAAATCAAAAGGCTAAGAACTTAATCCAAAACCCTCTTCCGCCACCCATAAAAGGGTAACATCGTGCTAAGGGGAAATCATGGGCTATCTCAAGCTCTTGCATGATAAGATCCATGGAAACGGCACCAAATAGTCAGATAAGGTTTGTTAGTTCTGGTCATTCTATCCACAACAAATATGAATCCGTCCACCTTATTAGTAAGACTTATCTGTTACATGTCACACAGTTAACTACATTCCAAATAAAAAAAGTAAGTCCATACATACCCTCAGGGAGATGCTCATAAATTCTTAATCATGCTAACCCTGAGTGCTTTATTGAATTCCCCTTCACAGTCTTACAATGCAAGGGTGTCTTGATATCAAGAGAGATATGTTTTAAATGCATTTGCTCACTACGCGACACAGATTATAAACCATGCAACATGAATCAATAAATTCTGAAGATCATTTAAAGTGTATCATTGCACATTGCTGTTAGACTAATAGTTTTTGCCGTTGCTATTAATTATTTCCTAGACAGTAAAGCTGATATCATCTTTCTGTTAAAAGGAAAAAAGATTGCTAAAATAAACTGAAGTGTTAGGCTGAAACAAAAAAACAGCTCTCACCGTCGTTGCCACTGACAGTAACAAGGTATCTTTGGGCAACCAAATCCATCACGTGGCCATATCGAGGCCCAGGACCCTGTCCTTGAACAACAACTCTACAATAAAGAACCACGTCAAAATTCAAGACAATTCACGGGGAAAGAAATGGCTTGAACTACCTCTATAAGCTTACCGGTGCCACTTGAATTTGTCATTGGTCAAGTCAAGCACGTAGAGGTCATCCGTTGAATGACCAGCTGGACCTATGCCACCCTAGCAACACAAATTCAATCATCAATATAATTTTCTAAAAGAAAAGAAAAAATACCTGAATCACAGCTCTAAGCCCATCATTGTGGCTTCCAACCACCTGAAACACAACCATAGTCCCGACAGCAGTAGCCGCATGTGCAGCCCTAGGTGAAGGTGGATCCCCAGCAGCTCGGAGTCTGAGTAATTTGAAAAGAAAAAGGCACTCAATTTTAAGCAAATTTGAAAGGATTAAAGTAAAAACAAGTAGAATTCAAGCATGAACACATACCTGGTCCATTTCCTCGTAAGAACGTCATAGGAATGCACACTATTCGTCACACCAGCTAGCCCTAAAACAAAATTAACCAAGAATTTAGTATCTGTCACCGGAAATCAACAATTATAGTTAGAGAGTGAGAAGAAGAAAAGAGGAGTGGTGGGTAATTACGGATGCCGGGGGCGCCTCCACCGCCACCCTCGATGGCGGTGGCGCCACCGAAGAGGATGAGGCGGGGACCATGGGTTTTGGTGGCGGCAACGGCGGTGAGAGTGTGAGCGCAGCGAGGGCCAGGGGCGTCTTCGTCGGTGTCCCAATAGCTCTCTAATGTTCGATAGGTCGGAGCCGGATGCAACCACGGCTTCGAACCCATACAGACCCAATCACTATCTCAACAATCAACCGATCAAAAGACTAGAAAAAGTTGTTGTAAATCATGCAATCAGTACAGCAAAAAAGTAGTGGAAGAAAAAGGAACCCTAATGATGGTAGTGGTGGATCCAAGCCACCGGGTGGTGGGTCCCTGCGGTAAGCACCGGAACCGGAAGTATATGGTGTGTTTAGCTGTCTTTTTGAGTTCTATATCCCTGATGAGGAATAGCGGGCCAGCCAGCCAGCCAGCCAGAGAGAGAGAGAGAGAGAGAAACTCCGAGAAAAAGTAACGACGGATGAAAATAGAATAGGAAGTGAATTGGAATGACGATGAGAGAGAAGAAAGATTTTTCTAGTTTTGTGAAATCCCTCAGTCAACCGTTACACGGTTTAGACTTAATAAATGAAAGAAAGAAAGAAAGAAAGAAGACTGCAAGCCAAACAATTCGAAGACAAACGTTTCTCTTTCTTTCCTTTTTTTCAACGGAACTCTGCACCACCTTTTATATTTTAATTATTTTTTTCTTCACTCTGATTAAAAATAAATTATTTTTAATTATTAAAATTTTAATTTAAAATATTTAAATTTATAATTCATTCTTATCATTACTTGAATTGCTATTCAAATTCAAGACAAACCTTTATATTTATGTCAAACAAACATATAGGTTGAGTAGTAACGCTAAATGGAATTGTCATCGTTGCAAGTTGAGTAATGTTACATGAACTTAAAAAATAGATTTAAAAATTAGACTTGATAATTTTTCAACCATTGATTTCACTGTAAGTCTCAGCATTTATTAAAATTCACTACCTATTCAATGGTTGAAATTATTAAATCTACTTTTTAAGTTTATATAACATTACTCTTGTAAGTTTGGTTCTCGTTAATTAATTTTGGACAAATTACGATAAAAAAATTAATTGAAATACACCTGAATTAATTAATTTTGCCATCTGTCCACGCTATTTAGGACTTTTCAGCAGAGAGACACTTTCTTTCACTACATTTGAGAAAAATAGCTCGCGTAGAGGGGGGAGGGCGGGGGGGGGGGAAGATACACAGTAAACCCATTTGGACAAATTAAATAGATTTAGGATAATTATAATAACACCCCCACAGATACTTAGATTTACCATTCAGTTATCGCTGGATGTTTCAAAAATGACAATAATATCTCTATTAAATTTTTTTATCATAAATAATTTATCTTTCCTTAGTTAAATTTGATCCCAAAAAAAACTAATAAAAAGAGAAGGTTGGGCTTATGCCTCACATTCAAGAGTTGACACATGCGGGCTAATGTTGGATCGTCGAGTCTTCTTCTAGCTCTAAACATTTTTTTTAATAGTGTTTATATGAAAAGAGAATAAGTGAGATTCGAACTCAGGATCGCAACCTTTAAATCTAATGACGGAGTGGCTAGCTATTAGACCACCACTGAATCCTATTCAAGCTCTAAACATAAATGTCGTTTTTCATTAACTTAAACAATAAGTTTTTTCTCCTTAACTTGAGGCAAATCTTTTTAGATCAAGACTCAAATTCATTTGAGTATTTAAGACAGGATGATAAATTAGAAAATTCTTTACTCAAATCGTGTACTCATCAATTTTTTGACTTGATGGTATCTACAACTTTGAAGAAAATTCTACTAATGGATAACAGAACTAAGTACACGCCATAATTCTTGAAACTTTTATTGTCCATCAATGTCCAATCATCTAAATATGATTTGATGATTGAGACCTCTCTTGTTTAAACGAAGCCAATTTCTTGTAAACTTGGTCAGCTAGATGAGAATCTTTCTCTCTAGTATTCATGTTTTTTCTCCCACAGAATAATGTCTTATGTTCCGTTAACTGTGATGAAAAAACTAAAAAATAAAAAATTTGAAAGGTAAATAAAATATCATATTTGGTAAGAAAAAAAGAAGGATAAAAAAAAGGATAAATGATTTTTTTTTCAACTCACTAAAATCAACCCTTCCAAAATCAGAAGGAAAGTGCATAAAAAATTAATTATTTGTGTTAAAATGTATCTTATTTGTCTATATATTCTAGATGAGAATCTTTCTTTCTAGTATTCATTTTTTTTCTCCCAGAGGAAAATGTCTTATGCTTTGTCTAATGCGATGAAAAAAAAAATAAATAAATAAATAAAACATCATATTTAATAAGAAAAAAAATACGAAGAATGAAAAAGTTGATGGATGAGTTTTTTTTCCAACTCACCAAAATCAATTCTTCTAAAATCGAAAAAAAGTACATGAAAAATTAATTATTTGTATTGAAATGTATTTTATTTTGTCTATATATTCTTTAATATATACATATATTATGTATATATTAATTATATATATATACTAGTTATTACCTGTGCTTGAAGACACTCTTAACACAAAAAATTCGCCAAGCAAACGGAGATCCAAAAAAATCTTAAATAAAAGAAATTTAAGGGTTGAAATGAAAAAGAATCATATCACATTAATGCAATTCAAAAATCCTCATGAACTTAAATTAACACCATTAAAAAATTATTATGTCATAAATTTCTTCATGGCGGCTCTTTTTTCCACTAGATATGTGTTCATTTTTCAACATCTAGCTAAATCTAATAAATAGGCCGTCTAACTTTAATAAGCAATATCATTAAGAACACAAAATTAAATCACTGAATCCAATCAAATGAATTAGCCACATTGAACTACAAATCAAATTTCTAAAAAATAGAAAAAAACCTCAACTGAACTAACATTACTCAACGGATCTGTTTGTAGTTGCGAGAATAATTGATTTAAATTCTCTACTGCTGTGACTTCTCGGATTCTATAGAAATATCTCACGCTGCAATTAAACCAAATCAACAAAATTAAAATTTTAATACTTCAAAAAAAATTGATTTAACTGATCTTTTGTTATTTTGGTGTTTATTTTGCACTAATCAAGTTTTCAAAAAAATATGAACATTAGCAAGAGAAAAGTGATGCAAATAAGGAAAAAAATGTTATAGTTGGTTTTGAATTTTTTTTTTTTTTGCAATTGGTTTCACTTATTTTTTTATTGGTAATTACCTTGACTTTAAATTTTTAGTTTTTTTAGTGCAATTGGTATCACTTATTATTTTCTTATTGGTGATTAACTTGGCTCTGATTTTTTTTTTTGATGCAATTGGTATAACTTATTTTTTTATTGGTGATTAGCTTGATTTTAATTTTTTTTTTTTTAGTGCAATTGGTGTCACTTTTTTTTTATTCATGATTAGCTTGACTTTGAATATTTTTGAGTAAAAAAGTCTAATTATGATCTTCAAGACAAACAACATTAAGAGAGAGAGAGAAAGAGAGAGTATGAGAAATGAGAGAATGTATGTCTAAAAGAAATATGAAATAAAGAGAGAGAGATTTATATGAGAAATAAGAGAGTGTGTGTCTAAAAGAAATATGAAATAGAGAGAGAATTATATGAGAAATGGGAGAGTGTGTGTCTAAAAAAAATATGAAAGAGAGAGAATTATATGAGATGAAAGAGTGTGTTTAAAATATCTGAGAGAGAGAGTTATGTACATATAATAGTTGGGTGTATGAGATAAAGAATGAGAGAGATATGAGAATTTTAAAATTGTAAAATGAATGAAAGTCTAATTTTGATCATTGGATCAAAAGTTAGGAAATAATCTGAGCCGCGAAAAGCTCAAGACAAAAAAATTTAACTATTTCATTATATATACTAGTCATTATCCGTACTTGAAGGCACTATATAACACAAACAAATCACAAATATTATCCATATTCAAAAAGAATGGATCAAAAACATTCATACCAAATTTTATTTTAAAATGACTTGAAATATATCGTCGATTATATTCTCAATATTAATGTAATTATCATAAAAATGTACAAAAAAAAACTCCCTAAAATAATACCACATATACAAATACCTCAAAATAACACCACATATAATTTATTATCTTTGTCACCATTTAACCCTGTAAAACAACATAATTATAAAGAACAATGCTATTGGAATATAATTTATTGTGACCTTTGAATTAACTATAGGTCCCATCAAACATTAAAACTTGGTGCTGATCCAATGATTTATATGAACTCACATTATTTTATTAATAAATTATGTCAAATTTTTAGGTCCAAAAGACATTATTTAATTATAAACTCTATTACTAAATTTTCAATCCAACCTATGTAATAAATACTTCAAGCAAAAACAAATAAATATTAACAGAACATAATTAAATTTATTATCTTTAAACAATAAATAAAATCAACTAAATTTTCTCATTATAAAACTCATGAATTTATCACCACCATTCAATTACAATGACAACATAATTATAAATTCAATAACCAAATGTCCAATCCCTACATGTAAATATACACAAAAACACACCCACGCATTTTTTTTTGGTACTACCGACAAACCCTCTTAATTAATAATTGCTATTGTTAGAAATACAACAACTTAAGTCTTTAAGATAAAGTAGTAATAAATTATAGTCTAATTAAAAATTAATGTTAGAAAATTGTAAAAAATACCTCTTAATTCTTGTCTAATTAAGTTTCTAGAAGGATGAAAACTCGTTAACATAATCCTGAAAAAGTATTAAAAAATATCATATTCAACACCACACGATCATCGCCCACCCACATCCATACTGCCAACCATGTATGCAAAAGAAGGATAAAAATCTCAATCAACTGTACTAATTATTTTTCTTTAAAAATATAGCAATTTCTTTTGAACGATGATCCCAAAAAATATTAATCCGTTTACACCATTTATATGCTTAGTAATATAAAATCAAAACAAAAGTTGAATCATCGCACGATGGGTCTTTTTTTTACCACAATTTATGTCCTTAGAAAAAATTAAACCCAGTTGCATATCACAATAAAAAAGAAATGGTGCTTGATACTAAATTGGATCAAGAATTAAAAGCAAAAGAAATGGTGTCAAACAATGTGAATTAAAAGCAAAACAAATAGTGTTTGCAAAGGAAAACCAAAACCTCTTTTTTTTAATTTTTGGGGGGGAGGGTTTCATTCCAATAGTTATGGATGGCAATTTTTTAAATATAGGTTTCAATTACTATGGGGTAACTACAAACATGGAGTTTTTTTTTTTTTTTTGACCAACATGGGGTTAGACTATGGTATCTTTGGAAAGATTAAACTATACGTCATGGACTTTGAAATACAACATGTATTCGGGGAAAGAAACTACTTAGTAGATTTCTTGGCTAATAAATGAA